TGCCCCTCTGTGTTCATGGAAGCATATACTTTCCCACAAGATTGGATGACAGCAGTATGTTTATGAAGCACTCGAAGCTCTTAAGAGTGAAAAGTTGCCCTACTGCTCAAGACTTACACTATTATCTGCCTCCAAAAGGCTCCACGGTTGTTGTTATCTCCAATCGCTGTGATGGTGTGAAGAGTCTGAAGGCACTGGAATCTTTGTTCCCACCAAGAAATGGTTTCTTTCACCTTCTTTTGGTGCAGCACCACTTGAATTTTAGATGTAGCAGGCTATGGCTACAAATCTCTTGTTCTTGGCTCTTTAGGTAATGTTAGTGCCTGATGATTAGTAGGATGTGAGTTTTTAGAGTTTTGTTCAGGAGTAGGAGTAGACTGAACCACTCTCAACACTCTTGTATTAGCTATGTTTTGCTGTGTGACAAATGATGACAAAATGAAGTGGTTAAAACAATAGACATGTATTATCTCACAGTTTCCACGTGGAATCTGGGAAAGGCTTAGCTGGCTAGTTCTGGCTCAGGGTCTCTTATGAGGTTATAGTCCTGCGTCGCTTAACGACAGGGATACGTTCTGAGAAATGTATTTATTGTTAGGCAATTTCGTTGTTGTGCGAACATCACAGAGCGTACTTATACAAACCTAGATGGTATAGCCTACTACACACTTAGACTATATGGTAGTAATTTTATGGGACCACCATTGTATATGCATTCCATTGTTTACTGAAACCTCCTCACGTGCACAGCATTCTTTCAGTGAATGAATGTTATAGTTACACTGTAAAGGCTGTAGTGAAATGTATGATAAGAATTATACATAGAGGTTCCTAAACAGTTACCTGCAAGCTGGGTTCAGCACATTGGTCTTTCATTGCAAGAAAGTGATAGCCATTCTGTACTGCATATACTGAAATGTTATTTTTTCCTTAAATGTTGGACAGAATTCACCAGTGAAGTCATCTGGGCCTGGAATTGCTTGTGGCTGCACATAAGGTGTTGGTCTGAGGCTGCAGGCAGCTGAAGGCTTACCTGGGGCTGACTGGGATTTCCAAGATGGCTCACTCACACAGCTGTTGGCTGGAAGTCTAAGCTTCTTGCCTTGTGGTCCTCTGCTTGAATGTCCTTATGACAGCAGCTGGCCTCCTCCGGAGAGAGTGATCAAAGAGAAAGACCAAGGAAGAAGCTGAAGTGCCTCTTACGACCTAGTCTCAGAAGTCATACGCCGTCACTGCTGCCATATTCTCTTCGTTAGAAATGAGTCACTATTCCAGCCCATACTTAGGGGGAGGGGAATTAAGCTCCACCTCCTGAAGGGAGGTGTATCAAAGAATTTGTGGACGTACTTTAAACCACTACAACTCTCTTGATTTTCCCCCTTTGTGACTGGGAATCTGCAAAAACAAACCAAAGTCAGAGGTTTAGTCTGTGGTGAGCAAACGGACAGATGAATATTGCTCCCTCAGTCTTGGGGTAATTCATACAGAATTTCAACCTTCCAACCTAACCAAATAGGTGCTCCCCCAAAACGCTAAAAGGATGGAGTGGAGGTTGGGTCTGAGAGAGCCAAATTCCTTCTTTCAGCTTTCCAAATCTGTCTTCCAAATTCACCCCTTGTGAATATGCAGTGGCCAGAGGTAGCTTTTCCCAGGGCATGCTCAGAGAGAGGGACACCAGTAAGGATGGGTGCTGAACAGGGAGAGATGCATTTGGCTGTACTCACCTGGACTAATAGGTCAGATACAAGCAGCAGATGGTAAGACCTGAGTAAGAAGTTAGCTGGTTCTGTTCCGCTGCTGCTTGGCAAAGACCAGCCACAGATGGTGTGTGTGAGGCTATGAGGAGATTCCAGTCTTGGGATCAAGCAAGCACCAAAGCCTCCCGCTGAAATCCTCTGAAGCACCACAGAGAGACGTGCAGGATCCATGGGCAGAATTGTAGGCTTGGATCTCAAAAAACAGGAACCATGGTGGTTCTGGCTCTTAGCGCATGATGTGAGGAAGGGAGCACTTGGCACCAGATGGAGAGGTTGTGAGAACAGAGCGTGACTGTCAGGCCACAGAGTGAAGCGTTGTGCCATCAAGACAGATGGTGAGAGGGGTGCCCCCGTCTGTGGTGGCTTACTGCCTTTTCAGTACTCAGCCTGCCTGTGTCCCCTTCACATAGGGCCTCTTCAAGAGCTGCTACTTCCAAAATATTTTAATTTAGAAGTCAAATGTAAGCGTTCCAAGCTTTAGTCCAGGCTAAGAGCGCTTCATATCTTTTCTTTTTCTCACATTTAGAGACACCCTGATTTCTGATACACTAATTAATAAGGAAATCATAAAATGGTATAACTTATGAAACCAGGGCATTGGAGAGAAGATGCCACATAAGGATAGAATCAAGAATAGAGTTTTCTTTCCAGTACATTCCTGCCATTAAGACACCAGTGCAAGAGCAGAGGAGGTGGGAAACAGAAAACACAGATTTCTACTTCCAGATACAGATCGACTATATATGTCATTACCCTACTAAAGAAATTCAGTGGCTTTGCTGGTATCACCTTTAGACGCAGGTGGGAGGGGCCTGCCTTTAAGGGGCTCTGTTCTGGCCCTTCTCCAGCTGCACTCCTACATACTGAGCAGGAGCCCACCAAGCCAAATGAATGTGCCCACCCAGAGATGACTTTACCCCTTCAGAGCTGGCTCCAGGTACCCAGAAGCCAGAATTCTCTGCCCAAATGGCCCTGAGCCTGCATCCAGGGCCTGTGTGGGCTTCTCCCCTAGATCCTGAGATGTTACTCCTGGACCCATGGAATGCCAAGAAATGACAGTTTTGTAGAGGAAAAAGTGGGACTGGAGCTTGGACATGTAGGCTCAAGTGCCCATCGGTTGGTGGGGGTGTACCTTGCCGTGTGGGGCTGAACCAGCTGTGGGAAGCCAAGGGGGAAGACGGCTCTGTGTGGGCACCAGTTCGCAGGGAACTCCGAGAAGTCCCAGAATTCTAAGTTCAAACCTCATCTTCCAAGTTATTATGAAAGTATATTTGTCAAGGTAAAAGAACATAATTTTTAATTTCACAGATTGTTGACTTGGTTTATAACTTTTACATATTTAGACATTTGATATGTGGGCCTCCATATGTAGCCTTTTTGTGGGCCCTACAGATGTTATGGTTGGTTCTGGTTCCCCATGTGATACAGAATCAAGTTGAATCAGCTTGCTCTGGTTTTTAAGGCCTTTTATTATTGGCTCGTCTCTAATCTTACCTCCCACTCTCTTGTGCAGGAATCTTCTATCCACCAAACTGGTCAACTTGTAGCCAGGCTCCGTCCACATCCTTTTCTCTGTGCTCAGGTTCGTACTATTTTTCTCTGAAAGGCCTCTGTTTCTGCCCTGCATTTGTATGGGCCAAGCTACTGTTTTAAGACCCAGCATCATAGACATGTCTCCTCCCTCTGGACTTTTCTAACAGCTTTTGTCTGAGCCATTTGTTGGCACTCAAAGTGTACAACCGTGTGTGGCCATTTGTCTTATTATGCACAAGGTGTGGCTATAAGATAAGGAAAAACTAATATGCAACAGTTTTCAAACCAGGATGGGAGACCAAAAAAAAAAAAGTCAGAAGAGTAGCTAGAAAATCAGGAGAATGTAGTTAGGCAGGTACCGAGGGAGGAGATGGCCAGCATTGTCAAAAGGCTGCAGAGAGTCCCTTGGGAAAGATGCCCCAAAATAGACCATTAGTCCTTTAGGAAAGAGGTCTTTTGTGACCATTGAGAAAAGAGCAGATTGTGTGGGTGAAAGCAACATTGTAGTGGGAAAAATAAGAGATGAGAAAGTAGAGACAGGAGATACACTTGAATGTTTCTCAAGAAGTATGATTCTGAGAAGAAAGGAGATAGAGTAGCTTGAGAGAGTGGAAGAGGTAGGGTGTTTTTGTTCTGTTCAGAGGACAGGGGAGACAGAGTGTGTATGTGGGAAGAAAGAGCTAGATTAGAGGGAAAAATTGATAATGGGGAAAAGAAAGGATAATCGATTAAACAAAAGCTAGGAATGGCTGAGATCCAGTGCACAGGTATAGGGGTTAACCTTGATGAGGAGAAAGCTCACTTCTTGCTGTGGGTAAGGGAATGAGGAGGGGACTATGAATCAAGGCTACAGAATAGGCATAATAATGAAGAACTGGACTTAAGGAGGAAGAGATTGATTGGTTGTCATTGTAGAGGAAAGGCTAGGAAAGCCTGAATTTTCTGGGGCGGGTCCAGATTCTGTATATTTAAATATCACATTCTTCATTCATTCCTTTCACATTTATTCAATGCCCTGCGTGTGCCAGACACTAGGGTCTGCAGAGATACGACTTTTCATGTCATTTTGGAATTTGTTATATTGGTGACTCAAGTGAGATTTACTTTTTACTTTTCTAGAAGGCTTTGAGTAGAAATAAATGCACGAATCAGAAAAGAGTCTTTTGTCAGACCAGACCAGATGCGGTTTGGAAAACACGAGCATCTCAATGGCGCCCTGTTTGAGGTGGAGAGGGCGGGGAAGCCGAGATAGAGAAAGGGAGTTTTAGACCCGGGTAACCCGAGCAGGAAGCGCCTTCAACCAGGAAGATGCCAACCTCTCGCGCGCTTCAGGCCGCGCAGTAACCAAGGGTAACAGCGCCTCAGCCTACACCGGTGTGAACACCGCCTTCTTCCCTAAACCAGGTGTAGCTACGGAGGCTGGGCAGGACCAGACACTGGCCAAGCCTCACTATTCAAATTCCCTTCCCGCAAACGCCCACTGCCTCCAACTACTACTTAAGATTACTGGACCTTTTTCCCTAGTTTATTGATGAGGGGCGGGAGTCGGGGAGAAGAGCGGGCGGGGCGAATCACCTTTCCTATTTTACAATTGGTCTTAATAGGCTCCAAGTCCCGCCTCCCTCGCCGTCGCCGACAGGCTCTCTGGGCTGTCACTCGAGCCGTCGCAGCCGCCCCTCGCCGGGGCCCCGCCCCTCGCCGTGGCTGGGATCTCGCGGGAAGAGCGGCGGACACGGCTGTGGCTTGGTCTCCTGGCTGCGCGCGGAGCTGGAGGGTTCTCCTCACACAAGCGCTTCCTCGGGGAGAGGTTCGAGTTGCGGCAGCTGCAGGCCTGGGCCGCCCCTTCGCTGCCGCCTGCTTCTCTTCTCTCAGGGCTCCCCGGTCCGCTCGCCCTGCTTCTCTGCCCAGGTGAGGAAGCCCGGAGCGTGTCTCCGCTCAGGAGCGGTCGGGGAGCGGGGACACGGAGCAGCCGGGGCAGGCGGGCTCCGACGGGGGCGGCTCCGGGGGCAGCGCGGCGCTGCCTGGTGGGCGCAAGGCTTGGCGGGCTTCGGGAGTGCGGGGGCCGAGGAGGCAGTGCGGTGGGATCCGGGTGCGTGAGCCCAAGGGCGGTGTAGCGGGTGCTAGGGCTCCTCGGGGTGAGGGGGCGGTTTACTGGAGGTCCTAGGGCTCTTCCGGCTTGGGGTAGGGGTGGGTGGCGGCGTTGAGGGTCCCGGGTCCTCGGGGTCGAGGGAGATTTATCAGGGTCCTGAGGTTCCTTCAGGTGGTATAGCGAGTTTCCGGGACAAGGGGTCCTTTTATCGGGGTCCCAGGCTCTTTGGGGGCAGAGGATTCAGTTTAGCAAGGTCCTAGGTCTCTGAAGGGGCAGATCGTTGAGGTCTTGGGGGTCCTTTGAGCTGGAGTGGGCGTCCGTTTCGCATTCCTGTGATGAAGAAGCAGTATATTAGGGTTCTGGGGAGAGGAGTCTGTTCATCGGGGTGTCTGGGTGAGAGGGCGATGTATCTGCGTCCTGCAGGGGCCGGGGCCGCGGTGGTGGGCTGCTGGGGGCCGAAGGGTGTACGGCGGAGACCAGCGTCTTTACTGGGGTTTTTGCTGTGCCCAGAGCGGGGCGGTAACTTGGCATGGTCTCCAGTCTTTTCAGGGGCGACAGGGCGAGTTCGCAGGTCTCTGGGTGATTTCGAATGGAGGGCGCGGCTCTGCAGGCGTTGGGTCGGTTCGGGGAGGAAGGGGGATTTAGTGGCATCTTGAGCCAGCCCAGTAGACAGTCTGTGGTGGTCAGCGTCCTGGAACAGGTCTCTTTCTCTCTAGATGAGATTTACTCAATGCTTAGTTGGAGGATTGATCCGTTACGCTGCCTAGTTGGAGAAACAGTGGGTTTGTTCTGCAGTTTTCTTTTCTCTGCCCCGGGACCCTGTCGGGGCGTGCTGGTCTCGCTGCTCTGGGAGCAAGAGAGCGGCAGCACCTTAGGCAGGCATGTAGACTGTAGATTCTTTAGGTGGCAGATGTGCTCAGGTTGAGCGTGGAATCCGCTGAGGATGGGGAACGCTGTGTGGTTTTGGCTTCCCATTCTAGGTGGTCTGCTTTGCTGATCCTGCATTATGAGATCTGTCCTGAAGTCTCGCCTGAGTGTTAGGCAGAGTCAGGTAGTGCTGGGAAGTGTGTTCTGGCTTCTCTCTGTCCTTTGAAAAGCATTTGTGGCGACGGAGTGGCGACGGATAACTTCAAGTTCAGCCTCCAAATAACGTTGGAATTTGAGGTCCCAAAGCTGGAGCTCTGCAAAAGTGTCATTTGAGACCTGTAAGGATGGCTAACAGAGCTCTTTTACAGAATCCTGCTTAACAGTTTTATTGTAAACGTACAGTTAGTCTTGAATCTTACAGAGTTCTTGGTGACTAGCCCAGACTTAGGTGGTATTCAAATAAAATGACACGTATATATATGTATACGTGGTTTTAAAAAAATGTATAGGTCAGAAAGTCTGTGCATTTGCCTGACAGTTCTGCTCATTAGGTAGCTACTTCGTCATAGAGGCCTGTAAATGAAGTCTAATGTGGCAAGCGGTGGAGCCCGTACTCATAGTAATTCTATTCTGTACTTTTGGGTAAACAGACAAATTTGAGTATTCCAAAGCAAAGAATTTGGCCTGCCTTAGTCTTTTTCTGAGTGACGGTTCTTAAAAATGTCATTTCTTTTGATCTTCGAACCAGGAAGATTAGGGATAATGTACTTAATCCCTGAATTTTGCAATCATTTTAAAAAACAAGAGAATCCTACGTAGCAATATTTAACTCTTTGGGGAACTTAAGTTTTTCTGTTTTTTGTTTTGGTTATAGTTCAAACCAAAATGCCTGATTGAGTTTTATACCTATCAAAACTGATCAGTTGAGCAGATATTTATTTGTAACTATGGCCAAAAAACTGTAAGCATACTTTTTTTTTCTCATTTTTGAAAGACAAATGATAAATTAGGCAAATTTTAATAACTTTTTTAAAAGCAGCTTTCCTAATTTCTAAGTAAACATACTGATCAGTCAACAAGTATTTGATTATCTTGCTAGGTGTTACCGCACTGGAGGTACAATGATTCCAGCTCTCATGTAACCTACATTAAGAAAGACAACACATAAATAAAATAAATACATAAAATAATTGAGATGCTGATAAGGAAGAAATAAGCAGAGTACTTGGGGTTCAGCTCACTTTGTTTTTTATAACCCCTGAATGATAATATAATTGATGAGTGTCGTGATAACCAGAAACCCAGCAAGATACTGATCTACCTTCAGAATTATTAAAGAAAGATTAAATTATGATCCATAGAGTTTGAGTGTTGAATATGTATTGACTCTTTAAGGATTTGCACCTTTTGTTATGTAAGCATAAAAAAGTCTGTAAGGACACACATCAGTTTTTCCAGTGTTTGGGAGATTCTTCAGGAGAGAGTTGCAGAAGCATGGAAGACAGCTATTAATTTTATGCTTTTATATTATTTGAATCTCTTTCAGTGAGCAGACATTACTTAAGTGTAAATTAGAGACGTCTAAAAATTAAAACATTTTGGTCACTACGCAAATTTGTGAAATGTTCAGTATTTGTAAGGCTTTCTGTCCGTGTTGCCACTTCCCTTTATTTGTGTGTACTAGTAAAGGAGAAAATGTATTTCAAGGATCTAAAAATTATAGGGGTGGAGTGAGGAGCACAACCAAATAAAAAGACTGAGACCTAAGTAGAATGTTAAAACATGTTCAAGATGTTGGATATTTAATTATATAAAGATAAATTAATCTTAGGCCTTTCTTTTTCAAATTTAATTGTTTCCTGAGTTTGAGAAAGGAAGTTTTTAGACTCCCTGGAGAATAATAGGGTGTGTTTTTGTGGCAGAGGAGGAGGTGTTCTTATTGTGGCACAAGACTTCAGGAAGAGATTTCTTTTTGTCAAACGTGCACATCTAAGAGATACGTTTTTCTTGTGAGGCGTATGAAACATAAAAATAGTTTTATAGTTCATTATCACACTGCTGAAAATGACAATACCAGAATGTCTTTTGGATTATCATTCAAAATTCTAGAATCATAAATGTGATATACTAAAGCAGTTTCTTTGAAAGGAAGTCATAAGACATGAATTCCAATCTTCACTGTACTACTACGTGACATTACGTAATTCTTTAGTCTCTCAGGGCCTCAGTTTCCATGTATATAAAATTAAAGTAAGAGACATCCCTGTTAATAATCAATATAAGCTCTAATTCCAGGGATTCTATTGCATTGGTTTTTAAGTTGCAGATCTGCAGTATTCTATGCACAAAAAGGGGTAGATACCATAAGAGTAGCTAGTTCTCAGGATACACCTGTTCCATGTAATTTTTATATACCATACCTAATTTTAGAAGCTTCTTCCTTTTTAAGATGTATAGGAAATGGTTAATTCCACAATATACATTCATGAAGGTAAATGATTTTTCCCTTTTGATAATTTAGCTTTATCTATTAAAGCATTATGATTTTTATTTCTGATCCGTGGTTCTATAACAGAATATCTATATGCTAATGTAATGTCCTTATTTAACTCTGGGTATAGAATGAGGTTGACCCCTTTAGTGTTTGACCCTCTTTAATCCATCCTTTACACTATTGCCAAGGTGATTTTTCTAAAATGCAAATTTGTTCAATGCTTCTTTCTTAAAACCCCTACTTCTCCGTTGCCTACGGTGTCTACTCCTAACTATCGTTACAAGGCCCTTCATCTGGCTCATCTCCTGCATTTCCCCCACCACAAATCGCAAGCTCCAACTGTACTAGTAAAATCAGTTCACTGAGAGAGCCATACTGTTTCATGACTCGGAACCTTTTCACATGTTCTCCCTGCTGCATAGAATGCTTTTCCTTTTCCTGTCTTGTTGACAAATCTTTTACTGGTTTTTCAGGATACAACTTAAGAAGCACTATCTGCTTTTTAAATTTTCCGTGTCCTCTGGTTTTCCCTCTTCCCACCCCACTGGATTATTCACTCTCTATGTCTTGTTCATTTATTCTCTCATGTTTATTAGTATGCTGTAATTATTTATGTCTGTCTCCTCCTGAACTCAAAGGCAAGTTTAGGGCCAGCCTCAGTGGCCTGGTGGTTAAATTTGGCGCTCTCTGCTTCCGTGGCCTGGGTTCGGTTCCCGGGTGCAGACCCACACCAGTTGTCTGTCAGTGGCCATGCTGTGGCAGTGGGTCACATACAAGAAGGAGAAGATTGGCAACAGATGTTAGCTCAGGATGAATCTTTTCAGCGAAAAAAAAAAAAGGGCAGGTTTATATTTGTCTTATTACTTTTTGACTCTCTATTGCTTATTTTACACCATTGGCTCTCATTACATTTTTGAACTCTCAATGCTAAGATTAATGTCTTAATGTCTGAGATGAGTTAAGCCCAAATCTCAGTCTTGTCATATTTTTCTAAAATTTTGGGCTTTCTAAGTTATCTCTTTCCCCGTTTACCACAAACTGACATTAGATCTGTATTTCTTATCTTCATATTTAAGACGGGAGACTCTCTGCACTATAGGAGTTAAAGGTTACTCTGTTAAACTTGCAGAAGAGTCTTGCAGATTTTTAAGGCAGCCTCTAATCCCTATATCTAAAATTGCTAGGAGGGTTTTGAACTAGTTTGGGTATTTCCGGTCTTGGACATAAGTGATTTGGTAGATATTTTGCCTCGACTGCTTTCTACACGGGAAATGATTGTTGCCAATGTGTGCGGGTTTTTATATTGGCTTAATAACTGCTCTACATACATTGCCTTTAATTTTCAAAACAAATCCTGACGATTTTGTAACTTACTTCAGGGTCATTCTTTACCAAGGAGCAGGCTAGGACTAGATCCAGATCTGTCTTACTACAGATTCTATGCTTTTTTAAAATACT